CTTTAAGGAAAGGTAGTCAGTTCTAAAGAATGTTAAACCAATTCCAGAGAACCGAGATAAAAACTTAATAAAAAGCACAAACCAGACCAGTAGTAGTGAATTCTTCAGAGTAGAAGTTTGTGGAAAAATAAAATGATACTAAAGTTAAGACCAGGAGAGAAACAAGCCAATATGAACAGCTTTTTAAAATCAGGTAATAGCTTCAGAGTTACCTATTTATGAGAACAATTAATAGGCCAATTTATGCTCCTGCAATCAGCATGATCTAAGCTGTGCATCAGTAACAGCATATATCTGAAGACAAAAACACTGCCACCAAAACATTCCCTATCTTGATAAGAGAGGATAGGATACTTGGCAATAGAAAAACTTCTCAGAAATGGTCTCATGTATAAATACATAGGAGTGCACACAAAAAAGGCCTTAATTTTGTTAAACAGTACCATGCTCCATTTTGGAAATTCAGGTCTCCTTGTCTCCTGGGAGAAGCACTCAGGCAGGTTCAGTAACACCTGCAATCTATCTGAAGTGGTAAAATGTGTTAATTGCTTATCCTGAAACACCTGTGGGAGAAGGAATCTAATACAAAGCCAAAAGCAGTATGTTTCCTTATCTACTTCATTTAAAAAAACTGAAATAGAAAATCCACAGGAGGCAATAATTACTTACCCAGTATAACAGTGCATTTGTATTTGCTAAAATTAGGCAGTGCTACATTTCAGCGCAAAACCCAGACCTTAGATCATTTGTATATATTAAATCTATCAATGCAGTGTATAAATTAGGGTTATCTAATACTACCGACCTGCATACAGATTATGTGAATCACATACATTGTGGATGTTTCTAACAGCACCTTATACACAGATATCAGTTACATATACTGAGTCTGATCAAATAGTAATAGCCTACCTCTGCTATATATACAGTGACACTATGCCTGCACACATATTAAGATTATATGAGTGAGATAAATTGAGGCTGTTTTCAACAGAACTTCATGCACATATTACACCACTCATATATACTGAGGTTGTGACTAATAACCCACACAAAAAAACCTGCATTAGATTGGACTCATAGAGGATGTGTCTTATATCATTCACATATATTGTGTTTCCACTAATACATCAAGCATATAGTGAACAGATCCACTGAAGCAATGTCCACACCAACTTACATATAGAGCATGTTGAGAGATATACTGAGGTTATGTTTTTAGAGCAAATAAAGAACACAAACTGAGGCCGAGACTTCCGATCATCTCATACGTAGCCAATATAGTGGATACATATACTGAGGCTGTGTCCCCATAGTAACTCATACACAGAGCCTATAGTGTGTACATATACTGAGGCTGTGTCCTCATAGTAACTCATACACAGAGCATAAAGCGCATACATAAACTGAAGCTGTGTCTCCATAGTAACTCATACATATGGCCTATAATGGACACATATACTGAGGCCATGACCTCATAGTAATTCATACACAGAGCATATAGTGCATACATAAACGGAGGCTGTGTCTCCATAGCAACTCATACATTTATCATATAGTGGATACCTATACTGAGGCTGTGTCCTCACAGTAACTCACATATAGAGCATATAGTGCATACATAAACTGAGGCAGCGTCCTCATTGTAACTCATACATAGAGCCTATAATGGATACATATACTGAGGCTTTCTCCATAGAAACTCACACATAGAGCATATAGTGGACACATATACTGAGGCTGTGTCTCAATAGAAACTCATATATATATATCTCATATATAGGATACTTTTACTGAGGTGGTGTACTCACAGTAACTCTTATACAGACCACATAGCGGATACATATACCGAGGCCGTATCCTCCTAGTAACTCCTACATAGAGCATATAGTGGATACATATACTGAGGCCGTGTCCTTATAGTAACTCATACCTAGAGCATTTACTGGACACACTCTGTTCATATGTTAGAGCATAAAGTGAAAACACACCGATGCTGTACCACCACCAGATCATGTATGGATACTGAGGCCCCGTGGTCTCATATGCAGTATATTCCTCCACTCTCTGGAAAAGCCTGCTTATTTGTGATAATGCACAGATAACAGCAATCAATGCCACATATCTTGATAGGAACAAGTGTGTGTGTGTGTGGACTTTAAAATCATATCCATGTGAGTACTTCAGTCACCCAGGGAAGTTCTCTTACCTTGGATATTTCTTCAGGACTGTGAAATTCCAGCAGACTTTATACAGCCAGGATATCCATTATTAGCACTCTTTTTCACAATGCCTTATTGCATCATAAGCACTCTTTTGCACAATGCCTCCTTGCATTATCAGCACTCTTTTGTACCAAGCATCCTTTCATGTATAACTTACCTAAATGCTCACCACACAAACCTCCTAAATGTGACCTATTTGTTAGAAGGAAGCCTAATGTAAGCCGCTGGGAGGGACTGAAAGAACAGAGACCCAGGTGCCTATACTAGTTTTAATCTAATTACTAATGCACTTACCTGAACAGCTGCAGGCCTGTGTTTCAACAGCAAAATGGGGATTTGAACAACTGACAGCCTAAACTGTTTAAACTATAGGCTTCCATCTGTACCCCATATGCAGTCCATCATCACCAGTGGGAGGAGGTTTAACCAACCCCATACAAGGTGGAACACCAAGAATAGGTATACCCAGGTAGTCACCTTATGGAAGTGCTGTTTACTGGGTCTTCAAGAATAAAGGCTTAGACTCGGCTGGGCCTCATGTATGCAGTGGACCGCTGTCATCCCCTCAGGGAGAGAGATAGGTCAGACTCCTGATTGCTGAAGGAGGTACCCAGGCTGGCAACTGTTACAGATGTGCTGTTTGCTGGGTCTTCAGGGATAAGAGGCTGAACCCTGGCCTGGTATTATGTAGGCAATATATCACATTCATCCCCTGAGTGGGTACCCAAGCTGGGCTGTTGCTGGGTCTTCAGGGATAAGAGTCTGAACCCAGGCCTGGCTTCCTGTAGGCAGCATATCACATTCATCCCCTGAGGGGGTACCCAAGCTGGCCTGTTGCTGGGTCTTCAGGGATAAGAGGCTGAACCCTGGCATGCAGTGGACCATTTTCATCCCTTAAGGGAGAGGTTGGGTCCGACCCCCGGTCACTAAAGGGGGTACCCAGGTTTGCAGTATTAACAATAGTGCGTTGCTGGGTCTTCAGGGCTTAGAGGCTGAACCCCGGCATGGCTACAAAAATATTGCCTGGTGAGCATAAAAGAAAATCTAGGCCTGCATAAGCAGACTCCTTCCAAACTGCTGTGAAGGACAGGAAAAAAGACTGCCTGATGGGAAGGGGGAGGATCTATTTATACCAGTTTCAGAGTTCTATTTCCTGTCCTTTCTGCTGTGAGGGGAGGAGCTAACCCATGAGTAAATGCTGCCATGAGTAAATGCTGCCATGAATAATGTCAGGAAAAACTAATTTATTTAAAACTCCACTGTCTATGGGGCATGGAAGAAAAAGAAGGGCGTCCACCCTATCTGTTATTAAAGGAACACAAATACTATAGAGTCAGGAACACTATAGTCCTATGATGGCTGTCCCCTTATTTTTGCAGTAAAAGGATTATTTTCCTCACCTTTTCTCGCAAGCCACACCAGACCCCACCTCCATGGTTGTGATTATCAATTTTGATGATCTCAGCCAATTCAATGCTTTCTCATGGGAGGCTATTGCACATGCGAGGCAATACACCGCACTGCACCAATCAGCATCTCCTCATAGAGATGCATTGAATCAATGCATCTCTATGGGGAACGTTCAGCTTCTCCATGCCGAGTGTGGAGTAAGCTAAAACACTGCACATACTGACTCCTACCACCATAACCTCTTCTAAAAGCAGAAGTAACATAGAAACATAGAATGTGATGAAAGATAAGAAACATTCAGCCCATCTAGTCTGCCCAATTTTCTCAATACTTTCATGACCCTTATCTTAAGTATAGGATAGCCTTATGACTATAGTAGTTATGGTAGTTGGAGTAACCCTTTAACTCGGAAATTGGTAGCAGAAATTTTCACCTTTGCGAAAGGATCATTTTGTTACATTGGTTAACCCACTATTGCCTGAATTCTTGAGAATGACAAACATGTCTCTCTTTTTGTTCCCATGAGGATCCCCCTTTCCCTAATAAGCTACCATTTATGTCTATTCTATTGAGAAATTATTACTGCCACATCAGAAAGTGTTGTTCGATTCTAACCCAGTTTATTTTCATTTCTCTAGATATCCGTGTTTGGATTTGGCGCAGACAAAAACGGAAACTGGCATCACTACTGGGAGAAAAACCGATTTGCTGGAGCTTTTCGATTCACAGGGGTCCACAACGCAGAGTTTGAATCAATGCTCATAACAAAATTAGACAAAGAAGGAAAACTGAAATTTTACAAATAAATCACGTCACTGTACATTTCCAAAAACAAAACAATGCACTGTAAAAGGTTAATTTTTTTTTATACTTTGATAATAAAAGTGATATAAATATAGTCTTAAACTTGTATGTTTGTAGTTTAAAACACATATATGATTCAATGTTATGTTTATGTAGCCCATTTTACCTGATGGAAAACACCTGGTGATAAGTAATGGTCACATTTCACTGCAAATAACATTGATTTCTAATGTGATTCAGCCGTCTCAGGGCGTAGATCATTCGCTGGATTGGTGCCAGGGCCTATGTGGTGCTTTGGCTGTAGAGGTGCATGCATGGTGCATCCTATAAAGATGATAACAGTTAATGTTATAGAAATGGAATGCAGGATAACTGAATATTCCGGGTGCTGGGGATCTTCATTCAGCAATGTGATTACTGCTGCTTTTACACCAGGTTAACTGATATTACTAGATATACCTGATACAAGGCCATGGTCCAGAGAACAAGAAGACATGGGAAGAACCAAAGGTCTATGAGCCATCAAGTGGTGTACTCTCGTATTCCTATCTGTCTCAGACTGATAACGTGGCCTTCTGTCCACCAACGTTCTATCTCCACCTTCCAGTGCAACTTAATTTATCCTGTCCTTCATCACCCCATCTCGACCCCTCTCCTCATCCCTTTATATATCCATCTCTTTAGCTTCATCTCTTCGTCTACCTCTTTTTTTGTCTTCTTCACAACCACCCTTCATGTACCACTTTCTGTCACTCCCCCATATACATCTTTTCTTATTGCTTCTCAATTTTCATCTAACCCCCATTTGTATCCCAAATCAGCTTGATATTTACCACAAACCACTGATTAGAGACAAACTCTCATTTGTTATCGAGTTTATATTCTCATAAAGGCTTTCTGTTTTGACTTAAGGGACACTCTAAGCACCAGTTACTTTATCTTAGTGGGTTGGTTCTGGTTCTGGTCATGCCTCTGCAACCTCGTCTCTCAATTCTCTGCCATTTAGGAGTAAAATTATTTTGTTTATGCAGCCCTAGTCACACCTCCCCTGACTGTGACTCACAAAGCCTTCTTACACTTCCTGAAAAAGAGTATACATTTTTTAACTTCCCTTGTACAGTGTGTTTAACTTAGAATTTATTATACATAGCTGTTAATTTCCTGTATGTGGTGAAAGTTTAATTGACAGTCCAGGAGATAATAACTTCAAAAGTAAATACAGTGTTCTATCTACCTGAATAAAATCTAAACCAGTTTGTTTTCATGATGGCAGTGTGAGTTACAACCAGGGGATGTATGACTAGAGCTTCATAAACAAATTGATTTAACTACTAAATGGCAGAGAATTAAGCAGTGAGACTGCTGGCGCATGAACTATACACCAAAACTGCTTCATTACGATAAAGTTGTTTTGGTGTATATATTGTATCTTCAATGGAATCCTCTCATCCCATAACTTAATTTCTATAAGATTATGGGGCAAAATTGTGTGGGTGCCATGTTACTTTACAGGATTAAATTGTTTTTGAGCTGCTTAGTATACAAGTTGTCCCCTATGTGCCAGTCAGCATTGTTTCCTCTGTCCTTCTCCAGCCACTGTAGTAATCAGGAAGGTTTTGCCATGGCTGTCAGTGATAGGCCAAGAGTATACTATTACTGTCAATGGGTGGCCAGTGATAGACTGAGAGCTTCAAGCAGGGCCGGATTAAGAGCACAGTGGGCCTGGTGCTGACAATTATGATGGGCCTAATTACAGAATCTTATTGACCAAAAACACTAAAACAATCATACCTCCCAAGCGCCATGTATCTGATGGAGATGGTGCTGGAGGGAAACTCATAGGATGCAGCTATAAGAAAACACATACCCTATGCTAATCTCTCTCTAATTTATGTTTTCATCTTTCAAGTAAATCCATAACCCCTAACAGCAGTGTCCAGTAATGCAGGAAGTTAATGGGCGGGATAAAAGGGTGTGCCACTGGCGCAAATCACGTGGCAAGACCTGCCAAAAGGGGTGAACATGCCCAAAAAGGGGCATCTTTGTCCAAAGAATTGGAAGGTCAGCCTGGCATGAATGCATGTCAGGCTGCCTGCCAATCCTGCAGGCTGTCCAACTAAGGGCATACTATGCAGGCAGCACCTTGAGCTTGACATAAATGCGTCTAATGATGCGCTCACTCCATTCTTTCTAAGGACTGTCCCCTAGCACTCGCTGGTCCACTTGTCTCCTTACCTTCTTACTAGCAGGCAGAAGTTCCTGGTATATAGTCTGAGACAGAGAAAAGGTGTCTGTAGTGAGTGTAGAAGAAAGGGGACATGCCACAGTGTTAGAGAGACCAACGTCTGCATTACCTAAACTAACTTTAATGTCAGCAAGTGCACACAAGTTTTGTTCCCATACATCCCTCTTAAGCTTCCAAACTTAAAGGGACACTATAGTCACCAGAACAACTACAGCTTATTGTATTTGTTCTGGTAAGTAGAATCATTCCATTCAGGCTTTTTGCAGTAAACACTGTCTTTTCAGAGAAAATAACTCCACTGGCTGCTCCTTAGATGGCTGCTAGAGGTGCTTCCTGGGGCAGTACTGCCTAGTGTGCAGCACTGCCATTCAGTGTCTCCACCCTCTGCATGCAGATACTGAACTTTCCTCATAGAGATGCATTGATTCAATTTATCTTTATGAGGAGATGCTGATTGGCCAGGGCTATGTTGGACTTGTGCTGGCTCTGCCCCTGATCTGCCTAGTTGACAGTCTCAGCCAATCCTATGGGGAAGTATTGTAATTTGCTCAGACCACCACTTCTGAGCCAGCAGCTGCAGAATTGAATACAAGTAATATTTTACTATATTTAGGGAGGCAAGAAGGGGCCAGGGTGGTGGTTTTAACATAATAGGGTCAGAAATACATGATTGTGTTCCTGACCCTATAGTGCTCCTTTAAGCAAGAGTATGTGAAGAGTAGTTAAGGTTGCCACCTTTCTTGGAAAAAAATACCAGCCTTAATCATTTGTATAATTAATTAGTTATGCGTGACATCACATGATGTAAATCACAAGGAGTGACATCAGAGAAAATTCTGTAAAATCACCAAACTACTCACAGTTTGATTCTGCTGTATAGATGGATCCCTGTCTCCCAGTGTCTCAGTCTCGCAAGTCACCCAGTGTCTCAGTGTCCCTATGTATCACAGTGTCAGTGTCCCCATGTCGCCCAGTCCCCTAGTCTCCCAGTGTCTGTGTCCCCATTTCTCCCAGTGTCCCAATGTCTCAGTGTGTCCCCATGTCACAAGGATACCGGGGACACTGAGAGACCCGGGGACACTGAGACATTTAGGGAAACTGGGAGAAATGGGGACACTGAGACACTAGGGACACAAACACTGGGAGACATGGGGACACTGAAACATTTGGGGACACTAAGACACTAGGGACACAGACATGGGAACACAGACACTGGGAGACTAGGGGACACTGGGAGACTAGGGGACACTGGCTGGGAGACAGACACTTGGGGTCACTGGGAGACATGGGGACAGTTGTGGACATAGACATGTGGACACTGGGACATATAGGGACACTGGGAGACATGGGGACACCAGGCACACTGAGACACTAGGAACACACTGGGAGACATGGAGACACTGAAACATTTGGGGACACTAAGACACTAGGGGCACAGACACTGGGAGACTAGGGGACACTGGGAGACTAGGGGATACTGGCTGGGAGACAGACACTTGGGGAGACATGGGGACAGTTGTGGACATAGACATGGGGACACTGGGACACATGGGGACAATAGGCACACTGAGAGACATGGGACACAGACACTGGGAGACTTGGGGACACTGAGACACTAGGGACACTGGCTGGGGGACATAGTGTCTCCGTGTCCCAATGTCTCCCAATGTCCCTATGTCTCACAGCGTCTCCATGTGTCTCAGCATCCCCATGTGTCTCAGTGTGCCCTAGTGTCTCAGTGTCCCCAGGTCTCCCAGTGTCTGTGTCCCCATGTGTCCTAGTGTCTCAGTGTCCCCTAGTGACAGTGTCCCCATGTGTCCCCTAGTGTCTGTGTCCCCAAGTGTCTCAGTGTCCCCATGTTTTCCAGTGTCCCCAAGTGTCTCAGTGTTCCCAGGTCTCCCAGTGTCTGTGTCCTAGTGTCTCAGTGTCCCCTAGTGTATGTGTCATCATGTGTCCCCTAGTGTCTGTGTCCCCTAGTGTCTAGGTGTCCCCATAAGTCCCCTAGTGTCTCAGTGTCCCCATGTGTCCCCTAGTGTCTGTGTCCCCATGTGTCCCCTAGTGTCTGTGTCCCCATGTGTCCCCTAGTGTCTCTGTGTCCCCATGTGTCCCCTAGTGTCTGTGTCCCCTAGTGTCTCAGTGTCCCCTAGTGTCTCAGTGTCCCCATGTGTCCCTGCTGCCTTTCCCCCCATCCCTCACTTCCCTGAGCTGTAGTCTGTCGCTGCAGGCTGAGAGCTGCTGTCTGGACTCTCTGTGCTGTGTAGCTGCTCCTCCACAGATCAGTGAGTAGCAGAGAGAGGCAGGGATATTCTGTAACTTCCTATCCCTGCCTCTCTCCACACACGGTGACCCCTACTGGCCAGTGCTGGTATTGCAGAGTAATTTCCATTTATTCTGAGAAAATTACCTGCATTTGTATTGCTGGTATTACTGCAATACCGGCAGGGCCAGGCAGCCCAAATACCGTCTGTGCCATTAAAATACCAGTCAGGTGGCAAACCTAAGAGTAGTGTGTAAAAAAATAAATAAAAATAAAAATAATTTATTTTATTTTTTTTTAAATGGGCCTATTCCATGGGCCTGGGCCTGGAGCTGCAGCTCCATCAGCCCCTATGTTAATCCGGCCCTGGCTTCAAGAATTTGTTAAAGCATATCTGCACTCTAAATGAAGCAGTCCAAAAAACAGCTCCATAGCCATTTTATGTTCTAAATTAGTGAATTTTGAGGATGCCCTCTGGTCTGTCACAGAAGCTCCCTAACTGGGCTTACTGCTGGACCCTAGCCATCAGCCATATAACCTGATCTGACAGGGAGTCCTCACATCCATGTCCTCAAGAAACGATGATTAGGCTGGTAAATATAACAGTGGAAAACTGTCAAACACTTTCTTTCACGTTGCCAGTGTATGTAGAAAGGTTTCTGATCAATGTATAGGTGATAGATATTCACTGACTATTGCAAACTACAAGGCTCTGGAAAATGTTCTCCAGAGATTCACACACCAGGAATGATATCAAAATTTCAGGAGAAAAAAAAAATATGATTACAATTTGCTGGCTTTCCCCACGCTATGATCTAAGTGTGGCATGAATCTACTGAAATGATGCTAAAGAATTGGGCACAGTGCTGTGACTGTGAGAGTTGATGCACTGTATTAATAATACTGATGATATATAGATAATTTCTTTTAGATCCTTGGATCTAACTATTTACAACCAAGTGTCCAGAGATAGATTTACAAAAGTACTATTATTTGTATAGAGTGACCTCCTTACTGCAGCCTGTGTCTCCCCAACCTCATCAATGTTGCAATCTACAATGGCTGAAAGCTGTGCATGGAGGGGGAAAGGGACAAAGAAGAATGCCATACCCTTTTTCTCTCTAACGATGATAGGCTAGAGTAGATGTGGTTTCAGGAAAGAGCGCATGGTAACTTAATATATCCTCATTTATATATCCAAAATTTATAATGCAATAAAATCATTAAGACACTCTAACATTGTTCACAGTCTATGGCAGTTCAACACCTTGAACTCTTTATCATGTTCCTCAAACCATTCATGAACATTTTTGCAGTGTGACAGATACATTATGCTGCTGAAAGAGGCCACTACCATCAGGGAACACCATTGCTATAAAGGAGTGTGGTCTGCAACAATCTCTAGGTAGGCGGTACATATTAAAGACCCAAGGTTTCCCAGTTTAACATTGCCAAAAGCATAACAATTCCTCAGCCGGACTGCCTTCTTCCCATAGTGCATCTTGATGTCATCTCTCCCACAGGCACCCAGCCATCCACCTGATCTAAAAGAAAACGAGATTCATCAGACCAGGCAACCTTCTTCCCCTGCTCCATGGTCCCGTTCTGACACTCACGTCCCCATTGAAAGTGTTTCTGGCAGTGGACAGGGGTCATCATGGGCACCCTGATGGATCTGCAGCTATGCAGCCCCATTCACTGCAAACTGTTATGCACTGTGTGTTTTGATACCTTTCTATCATGGCCAACATTAAATTGGTTCAGCAAATTGAGCTACAGTAGCTATTCTGTGTGATCAGAGCATACTGGCTAGTCTTCGCTCTCCATGTGCATCAATGAACCTTGGGTGCCCATGACCCTGACGCCGGTTCACCGGTTGTCCATCTTTGCACCACTTATGGTAGGTTTTAACCACTGCATACCTGGAACACCCCACGAGACTTGCCATTTTGAAGATGCTCTGACCCAGTCGTCTACCCATCGATGTTTGTCTGAGGACGATACTGTTAATAAATATCTAGTAATCATGCTTTGTACTCCAGGTTAAAAGGTTACTCAAAGCACCATGATCACTTCCTTGTTTAAAACGCGGCACACATTGAGTTTATCCCCATTACTGGAACGTCAAGGAATCAAACACAGGGAGCGCAAGCAAATAGGATTTCAAGGCAGAGTGGAGTCTTATAAAATCACAACCTGTGAGGCGTCAGGATTTGGATGCTTGCTGTTGGAGAGTGTATGCTAGTGGGACTTTAGCCCAGTTGTGGGTTTCAGCGGATTTTGCACATTCCTTAAAGATCTGTGTCTATTGTCTTGTGAGTGTTCCTATACATATATATGCTGCTTGTGTTCTTTAATGCAATACATTTTACAATTCTGAATGTTATTCTCTCCCTTCTCCTGCAATTGAGCATTATGTATCACCACTTCTAAATAGAGCTGCAAGATTGGTAATTACTTATTCCTCTATCTATTTACCCTTTTTTTCATACATTACGGGTTAAAGGGACTCTCCAGTGCCAGTAAAACAATCAGTTTTCTTGGCACTGCAGGTCCCTCTCCCTCCCACCTCCCATCCCTGGTTGCTGAAGGGGTGCAAACCCCTTCAGTCACTTACCAGAGGCAGCGACATGTCCCACGTCGCTGCTTCTTCCTCCGCCGCCGGTCCTCCCCTTCATTACGTCAGCAGGCAGGAGAGACTGATCCCGCCCGCCTGCTGGGGAGACCTAATGCGCATGCGCGGCGTGCATTAGACTTCTCCATAGGAAAGCCTTGAAAATGCTTTCCTATGGGGATTTTAGCGACGCTGGAGGTCTTCACACACCGTGAGGACGTCCAGCGACGCTATAGCACAGATAATCTGTGCTATTATCCCGGACGTGCCCTCTAGTGGCTGTCTAGTAGACAGCCACTAGTGGAGGACTTAACCCTGCAAGGTAATAATTACAGTTGCAGGGTTAAGGGTGGTGGGAGTTGGCACCCAGACCACTCCAATGGGCAGAAGTGGTCTGGGTGCCTGGAGTGTCCCTTTAAGCCCCAAGACACCCTTGGAGTGTCTCACTGGTGTGTCACCTCAGTGACTGATAACACTTAAGACACACGTTGCTGTTACGCTGTTGTATGTGTGTAACACAGTCATAGTACCCTTTTCTATATCCTACGGTGTAACTCAAGCAATATTGTTTCCCTCTTTCTATTGTTTTGTATTGTCTTTTTAAACACATGGTATTCCAGGTTGTAGTACATTTACAGCGGGAACATGAGCTAGCATACTATTTTGTTTGTTCTCCGAGTATTTACTGCGTTCATCAGTTTATGTTACATATGAGACTTCATGAATTTTTGTATATTGTCCAAGTACTGAATGTCTTATTGTATCCTACTTTATGAAAATTCAATAAACATTTCAAGTGGAAATAAAAGGTTAGCCAAAAGGTTTGTCTTCGGTTGTTGAAAAATGACTTTGTACCAAAACCACTAAAGCCCGCTCAAAACTGGACAAAATCGATATTGCTAATGCGTAAGTATAAGTTCCAAAATAGCTATGTTCTGGGTCGAAAGGCTGCTGGACTCCAGTATGTGTCCAACTGCTCACAAATGGTATATAGTAAAGAATAATGCTGTAGTGGTTATGCTTCTTAGAGTGCCATTTTCGAACAAAGGCAAAGCATGAAGTAAGTGGAAGCTCTACAACCTCTAGGGAATCTACATTTTAGCTGCAGTTGCTCCCAAGACGGGCCCCACCAGTAATAATTGCCTATGAGGCATTTATTAAAATGACATAAAAATGAGGTTGACATGCCTGGCCTGAAGAAATTGCCGGATGGAATTATTTTACCAGTTCTGTACTTTGCGATAAACATTATAAAGGACACCCTAGACTAACTACTAATCTATACCTCCCAAGTGTCCTTATTTAGGAGGGACATCCCATAATTTGGGGCCAAATCCCTCTGTCCCTCTTTTGTATCTTAATGTCCCACTTTTCTAGGAGCTCCATACTGTTGGTTTCTCTGGGTGTGTAGCAGTAATAACAGTAATGTGTCTTTAAACTTCAAAAAATGGGTTTTGAAGTCAGTCTGTGTAAATAAGATACACTGTGCTTGTTCTAAATTAAATTTTAGTGAATTATTATAAATTATTAGTAAGTCACCTAAACTTTCTCAGAAAAGCCCTCCCTGGCCACACTTCTACTCACACCCCATAAAATGAAAGTGTCCCTGTGCTATGTGAAAAGGAATACTAATCCCATGACTCCTGTCCATGCCCTCCATGGTAACCTGTCAATAACCTGCACTTCCTGCACTTCCTGCACTTCCTGCACTTCCTGCACTTCCTGCACTTCCTGCACTGGTTAATGCAAGGGCTGAAACTAAGGCTGTGACTGCGCATGCGCCACGTACCCCGCTCCCATTGGTTCACCGGCCATCCAATAAGAAAAGGACGGATGGTTCGCGGGGACCCGGAAGTGCTGCTCTCCTTTTCTCTGCTTCCGGAGAAGAAAGACAAAGATGGAGACTCTGCACCGGCTCCGGCAGTTTGACGCTTACCCCAAGACTTTGGAGGACTTCAGAGTGAAGACGTGCGGCGGGGCTGTAGGTAAGACGGGGCGCTGCGGGCTGGAGAGCTGGGGGATCATGGAGGAGGACTGACACACAGCGCCGGTCCATTCACTGCATCCACACAGAGTCACTATACAGACTGGGAGACAGACTGAGACTGGGAGAGACAGACTGAGACTGGGAGAGACAGACTGAGACTGGGAGAGACAGACTGAGACTGGGAGAGAGACAGACTGAGACTGGGAGAGAGACAGACTGAGACTGGGAGAGAGACAGACTGAGACTGGGAGAGAGACAGACTGAGACTGGGAGAGAGACAGACTGAGACTGGGAGAGAGACAGACTGAGACTGGGAGAGAGACAGACTGAGACTGGGAGAGAGACAGACTGAGA